TATAGCTAGATTGGAAGCGATTAGAATGCTACTAGCCTCTACCTATTCTAAGGGATTTAAGCTTTTCCAAATGGATGTCATGTGCACCTTTTTAAATGAGGTAACAAAAGAAGATGTGTTTGTAGAGCAACCCCTGACTTTGAGAATTCCCAATTTCCCAATCATATTTTCAAATTAAAAAAAAAGGCTTTGTATGGTTTAAAATAGGCACCCAGTGTATGGTAGGAGAGACTTAGCATGTTCCTACTAGAAAGGGAGTTTGTTAAGGGGAGCGTAGACACCACCCTTATTCTAAGGAAAGTAAGATATGAATTAATCATCATTGAGATCTATGTCTATGATATATATTTTGAATCTTCTAATAAAATTTTATATGATGATTTTTCTAAAATAATGAATAAATAATTTAAGATAAGTATGATGAGAGATTTATATTACTTTTTGGGGTTTTGCATAAGGCTAATGGATGATGGAACTTTTCTAAATCAATCAAAATACATTAAGGACATATTAAAGAAATATGAAATGGATAAAGCCAAGCAAATAAACACTCTCATGAACTCTAGTGTTCAATTAGATAAAGATTCAAATGGAAAATTAGTTGATCAAAATAAGTATAAAAGATTAATTGGATCGCTCCTTTACTTGACAGCTAGGAAACCTGATATAATGTTTAATGTATGCCTTTGTGTAAGGATTTAAGCTGATCCAAAGGAGTCCCGCTTAATTGCAATTAAGAGAATCCTTAGATATCTCTTAGGAACCAAAAACTTATGAATTTAATATCCAAGGCATAACAATTCTTTTAAGATTATTGGATATTCTGATTCATACTTTGTAAGATGAAGGGTGTATAGAAAGAGCACCTCTAAAATATGTCAATTCATAGGGCAATTCTTAGTCTCATGGTCTAGTAGAAAATAAAACTCAATTACACTTTCCACTACTGAAGCTGAATATATAGTCTTAGGAAGTTGTGTGACCCAAGTCCTATTATAAAAGCAACATATTCTTGATTTAGGATTACCTGTAGGTATAATATCAATTCTATGTGATAATAGTAGTGCCATCTATATTTCTAAAAATCCTATCCAATATTATATAATCAAATATATTTATATAAGGCATCACTTTATTAGAGATCATATTACTAAAGGAGACATTGAGCTACACCACGTATAAATTGCAAACCAACTGGCTAACATCTTTACTAAACCACTGGCTTTTGAAACTTTCAACATCTTAAGGACAAGATTATGTGTCATAGACATAAATACATGAACTTGATGATTACTGAACTCTGAATTTTCTATTTTATAATATTTTTTTAGTTTTTGTTTGCTTATTTATTTTTGTTTATGTGCTGTTATTTTTTGTGTTTCATTGTTATGTTATTTTTTACTTAAGTTTTATTTTATTGATCACTATTGAAATGACATTTTTTCCTTGCTTTTATTTTTGAAAATTTATAATCAATGATTGACATCCCTAAATCAATTAAAGGAAGAAACACTATTGATTGTTTCCCTTCCTCTAACTCCTTTGGTAGTATAATTTTCTTTTTTAAGCAAAAATCTATTTCAAATTAATAATTGGACTTTGAAATTGAGATTTTTTCTATCTTCTTATAGTAATCTATCTCATATAAATAATGTTTAAAGTTATTAAATCACTTTTAAGCTTTCTTGATCATATTGTTGTATTTATCATATGAATAAAAATCTATTTTGTGATTTACTTCTCCTTATATTAGAGAGTAAGATTTTCATCTCCATTATCTATAAGATATTCTCATAACTGAGAGTCTTTAAAGGTTTCGAAAGGGAGCTAGCTCGTAAAAATAACAAGAGGCATTAAATGAGCCCAGAAAAAAAATTGAAAAGATGTGCAATAATCACCAAATAATTGAAAGATACATAAAGTGTATTAAAAATTAAAAGATACGTAAATTACGCCAAATAATTGACAAGAGGCATAAAATGAGCCCACAAAAAAAAGCTTTATTCTCTTTCAAACTTTTAAATATTAGAAGAATTCATATATCACTTGATATCTTCAATCACTTGATTTTTAAAACTCATGATTTTAACTAATTACTTTACTATATTATTCTATCATATATATTTTCTAGAACGAAGTTTTGAATAGATCACTTTTTTATCGGATTTTTTTAGTTAGATCTTTATTTTCAAAAGATGGTTTGCCTTGTTAGAAGTTCGAGTTGGGGTTAATAGGATCGATTATTCTACCATTTATCATATTTTAGAGATAAAAATTTATTTCTTACTAATTTTTAATCCAATACATGTGAAATTTATCATTTTGTAGCTTTCTAGTTTGTTTTTGGTGTTTTGTGTGATGCTTGTACTTGTTTATGTACTATGTTTTGTTTAGTAGTTGTTTTTCTATTTCCTTCTTTTTGTAATGTCAAAAGGGAGAGTAGTGTTAGTGTTGTATCATTTACTTGTTTTAGTAATTTTTTTTTTGTTTTACTTATGTTGTTCTCCTTTGTTTTATGTTTCATTTTTAAATTAAAAAAATGTGATTTAAAATGTTCCAACAATAATGTTTTCCATCATAAAAAATTGAGAGATTGTTGCAAATCTGGACCCAAGTACTATAATTTTAATGATAACAAATATTATTATTTCTCGACTACTTTGAGTTTTGCATATATGTTTATTTGTCCTGCTCACTAACCTTTCAGGTCCATAAGTTTACTTGGAGCGTCAATCAGTTCAAGATTAGGCAGACTAGGATTGAATCATTCTATAATTTATATTCAAATGTAACTTTTATCTTTTCTTGAGTAAAATGTACTTTAATGGATCTTGAAGCTAAATAATCATGCACACACATACTCAGAGGGAGAAATTTAATGAGTTAGAGTTCTTATGTTTTTGATCAAATCGTCCTAGACGATCAGTTAAAAATATAAATCCTAATTAGAGCATCCAGGTCAAATAAACTTGCTTAAGCAAATCATCCTAGAATATACTCACATAATCTGGATGATATGCTTAAATCACAAAAAAACCAGTCGCCAAACTCATTTAGGCAAGATTTTAATCTCTCAAAAGTCTACTAATCATACAGGACGATTATGATCATCCTAGATAATTCATATCAATCATGCTTAAATTAATCAGGTGATTAAGAAAGGTAATTAAGGTTAGATTAATCGATCATATCATTCTGGACGATCATAAAATTATTCTAGATGATTAGTAAGAAAAATCTTAATCTTCTCCTGAATCTCCTGGATGTTCCGAACTATCTGCTGGATGATCAGTTATATTTCTTCATCATCCTGATTTATCTCCTGGATGTCTTGAACTATCTTCTGGATGATAATCAATGATTTTGAACTAATTGTATAAGATGATCCATGCATCATCTTAGACGATCAGTCATATTTCTTCATCGTTTGGAGTTATCTCTTGGATGTCCCGAACTATATGTTGGATGATAGTATATGATTTTGAACTAATCGTACGAGATGATGACCACATCGTCCTGGATGATCAGAAAAAAACATTTTGTTCTAATCATACATTAGACCCAGATCATTCTGGTTGGAAGGGTTGAATTACACTAATCGTAGAGGACGATCTGTCGATCGTCCTGAATGATCTTTGACAGTAAATTGAAAATTAGGGCATTTTTAAGGCCTTCTTTATAAGATCTCTTAATTGCTAAGGAGAATTAAGGCCTTCTTTATAAGATCTCTTAATTGCTAAGGAGAGAATCTTTTGTTGTTGACCAGACTCGAGAGAGAGCTTAAAGAAGCCGTAGGAGAGCTGGGGGGGGAGAGAGAGAGAGAGAGAGAGAGAGAGAGAGAGAGAGAGAGAGAGAGAGAGAACTTATGAGCTATTCACAAAGGTTGCTCAAAGCAAGGATTCAAGTCATCTTCTCCAATCATTCTCCTTGGCTCCTTGGTGGCTCTAGGGAGGTCTTCATCAGCACCTGATCAAGGTTCTCTACTACTTTAGGAGGAAGCAAAAGGAGTTAAGGTTCTCTGCTACTTCAGAAGGAAGCAAAAGAAGTTTGGATTTTATGCCTCACCGGGGTCGGTGAAAAAGACTTTCTAAGGGCTGCTCAGCCTTACTGTGGGAGCAACAGAAGAGACACTACAGTTTTAGTGCAATACTCAGAGGGTGCCTCCGAGAAGTGGACGTATGTAAGGTTGACCAAACCACTTCAAAATATGGTGTGTTCTTTCATGTTATTGTCTCACATTTTAATTTTCGCACTTTAATTTTCTGTGATTGATTGTATGGTTAAAATCTTTGATTTGGTTTGTTAATAGTTTCCGCATCAAAGGTTGATCGTGTTTGTTTTAAAATATTCAAAAAGGTTTTAAATTTTAAAAAGATTTTGCTTTATGTTTAAGAATTTTTAAAGCCACGTACTCACTTTCCCTCTTGGTTAGCCTTGGGCTAGTTCATAAGGGCTTAACAATCCTAACGAACTTTCATATTAATTATCACACAAACCCTAGCGAAAGTCAGCCTCCTTTGGTCTACCGTTAAAGCATCAACAAAAACAGGGACACCCATAAGACTAGCAATCTTGAAAATCCCCTCTAACGTCTAACAAACTAGAGGTAAATCCATAATTTTAATCCAGATAGGAATAGATGTAAACTCTTCTCACTTCGGCTGAAATAAAAGGCGACCACAACTACAAGATAAAAGATTTTCCGAGGAAGAACCAAGGTCCTCCAGACCAAACCGTGTCAAAATCTTCAAAACATGAAAATTTCATTAGAAAAAACCCTTCACTTAAAGCAAGTAGTGTTACATTTCCTTTCTACTCCCAAGTTTTAAGCATTAACGTACGTAATGCTTCGAAATAAGGTCTCTTATCCAAAGAATAACTAACTAAATTTATCCCTCATTTTTTTGACATAAATGCAACATCATCCTCAGAAAAGTGGGCTAAATTATTCAAAGATTGTACAAAAGAATTAGAAAAAGGTTTTAAAGAAGAATGACGCGATGTCAATACTCCATTCCAAGAGCGGAGACCCCATATGAGGAACCTAGTTCTTTACCCGAAGACAACAGAGAAAAATCTTTCACAAGATCCATTAAAGTAGAAAAGAAAATCGAAGAGAAAGAATCCCTAGGGAAGCAAGGAACTCTCAATAATGTATTTTTTTTTACGTTATATATTTCTTAAGCAATCCAAACAGCTCTTATATATTTATTTATCATACCCTAATTTTTTTTTAAATTTAGTTTATTCACCGATCGAACCCCTAAATGGCGTCTGGCCACTTGCTCTGAGATTCTTAAACGGATACCTGGAGCATGGCTGCTTCGGCGTCGGTCAGGCAGTTTAAACTGGCAAAGGAGAGCGAACTTAGGGTTGAGGTCGGCACCGATTCTCCTTATCGTGTCCGCCTCCTCTCCGGCACTGCCGAAATTTTCGGCACCGAGCTCCCCCCGGAGAACTGGCTCTCCATTCCCCCTCGTCAAAAGTTTGCGGTGCATCCTTCTCTCTTTCTTTTTCCATTATTGTAAATGTCCCAAGACGAGTCCTTTATGGGAATTACTGTTCTCATGTCTCAGATTTTTACGTGGCATGGAGCTACTGTGGAAGTGGAAGGAACCAGCGAGGTCGAGTATATTGCCGATGAGGTGAATTAGCTGTTTGATGTTCTGTATTTTGTGTTGAGGAGTGGAAAGGTGACACCTTTGCTTCTATTTTGGGTGATTTTAGACTCCAATGGCGAGCTATGTGAACGTACACGCGATACTGGATAGCAGGAGAGCGCGAGCGAAGGCGTCGTCTAATAGCAACGTGGTAGCTTCTCAGGTTTTACCTCGATTGGTTTCTTATTTATTGCGTAGTTGTCATGTGCGTAAGGAAGTTGTATTGAAGAATGCAGATTTGGGGTCGGCTGATAATTCTGCTAAAAATATGAATCTTGGAGTTTTAAAAGTTTTTATGCACCTATTGAAGAATGCATTCTTTTGGAAAAGCTGCTAATGCTCTTGAATGATAATTGAAATGCTTGAATTTTGCATATCGGTCTGTATATATAGTGGTGAAATAGATTAGAAGACAATTTCTTTACTTTTTCCACATTCCTCCATTACCCAACATAAATCCACAAAAACTACATCAAGGCACCATGCAAGGCTGATGCTTTTATTCTATTTTTGTGAATATTTTCTATTTAGGGTCCTCGGGTTTTTGTGGTTGGGCCCACGGATTCTGGAAAAAGTAGTCTGTGCAGGATGCTTTTGAGTTGGGCGTGTAAGCAGGGCTGGAAGCCTATGTTTGTAGATTTGGATATTGGTCAGGGATCCATTACTGTTCCTGGATGTATTGCTTCCACTCCAATCGAAATGCCTATTGATTCTGTTGAAGGGATACCTCTAGAAATGCCCATCGTGTATTATTATGGACACACTACTCCAAGGTAAACACGTGGCTCCTTTTGCGTTATTTACTGTACTTCTACGTCTCTTGTTATATTTTTGTGTTAACCATGATGACACATTTGGCCTGTGTAGTTTGTCTTATGCTGTGGGTGAATGATTACGTTTTCCCCATTCCTAATGTGTTGATTCACAGCATAAATGCAGAACTATACAAGGTTCTTGTGAAGGAGCTAGCTCAAACATTGGAGAGGCATTTCTCTGCTAATTCAGAGTCTAGGGCTGCAGGCATGGTGATAAACACTATGGGTTGGGTGGAAGGCCTTGGTTATGAGGTACCTTTGTTGTTAAAAGAATGAGCTATTTTCTATGAATACTGTAATTTGAGGAATTCCTAACTTCAGTTTCCTTCATGATGGATGCAGTTACTTCTTCATGCAATTGAGACTTTCAATGCCAATGTTGTCCTAGTTTTAGGACAGGTATTTTTTTCATTTCTCTTGTAAGTTTATTGTTAGGTTAAAATTTCTGTATTTTGAATTCTTGTCCCTTTGCTCTGGATGGAGCGGTAAAATGAATTTTTCGCAGAGTAATATTGACACTCCTATTCCCTCATATAGAAGAATTCTTTTATGATGTGTATTACCTATACAATTTTAATGATTTTTTTATTATAAGTACATTGTTTGAGGGAAAATAATTTCTCAAGGAAATAGTGGTGGGTAGATTACATAATATGAGGGAAAGTGTTTCTTGTTTTTTCAATTTGTTTCTTCCCACTTGTTTCTGCAGTTCTTCCGCTCATGGCAGGAGGCCCTCCGGCCAGCGGCGTGGATCATCGGTCTGTTGAGGAACGCCGTTCTCAGGTTACCTGTGTAGAAGAACGTCGAAGTGGCTTTGAAGGACCTCTGTTTTTTAAAGAACCGAAGGTTCTTGCTTCGAAAGTATACTCTCCGGTGATTGGAAAAAGGCAAGATTGTTGTAGAGGGAGGTATGTACAAAGATCCTAATTCGAATTGTGACTTTCCTTTGTTGGGAAATCAAATTTCTGGTGTAGACGCTCCTCTTCGGATTTGAATCCCCTGGTGAAGAATTTTGGTAGTGGGAGCGCATCGGGTAGAGCAGAGAACCCAGTTTTTGACAAGGGCACATCCATCTATTTGTGTTATTGATTTTGAAAATGTTAGCAAAGTTTGTAAAGATAGTGGGGGAATTGTGTCAGCGAACCCTTGGATTAAACCGTCAAATATTAGAGTTAATTTGGAAATTGATTCTTCTTTTTTTATCTAAGGATAGCATGACAGTTAAATTGTTTGAGCCAAACGTTAAGGTGAACTCTGAGAAATTATAGTTCTCAATTGTGGTGAAGGTGTTCGGGCGAAACATTCGTGTTCAGGCTATATCTTATGAACTGTGTAGGCAGTGGATGCAATTTGGAAAATTCCATCTAACCATCCTAGGGCTAGGTTGGGTGTTGTGTTCCTTCTTTTCTCAGAAAGCCATGGACAATGTTTTATCTGGAGGTCCGTGGTTTGTAAGGGGACATGTTGTGGGGATGGACAAGTGGAATACTGAATTTTCAACTACTTTAAAAGGGTTGTTTTCTCCGGTTTGGGTGAGGATGCCTTATTTGCCTTTGTACTGTTGGGATGAAATAAATATTGCTAGAATTGCCTCTATGGTGGGTACATTATTTCTAGATAGAAATATGTTTCAGTGGGGTTGTAGAGAGTTTGCCCGTGTTTGTGTGCGTATTGATTTGGATAAAAAGCTTCTGTTGGGTGTTTGGGTGGAAGGACTGGGAGGTCGGTTTTTCAAAAGCTTGAGTATGAAAAGATTTCTTCATTATGTTATACCTGTGGTATAGTTGGCCATCTGAGTAATGATTTTAAATTGAGTACTGGTTCAAAGTTTAGTGAAGAGGTTGTGAAGGAAAATGTGGTGGATAGAACTGATGTCTTAGTATCAAGTAAGGCTATGGAGGAGAATTCTACTTATGGGCCGTGGATTCATGTGAATCACGGTAGAAGGAAGCTTGGGAATTTCCCAAGAAAATTTCAGAAGAAAGACGTTCCCAAACATTTAGATCCTTCGGTTATTAAAGAGGATTCAATTCAGGAATGTAATGTGGATGTTAAGAAGGAGAAAGACGGTATGGTGTTGCAAATAGTTGTCAAGTCTGAGGCTGCTACTGGCTTTTAGGATGAACGGGAATGCAGAGAGCTGGATACTGATAAGGTGGATAATAAGGAGTGTTGTTCTGGTGATCAAGCTATTCAGGCCAGTAAGGAGGTTGCTATTCTTAATCCCAGTAAGTTTCAGCTGTTAGAAAATATTGAGATGGATATGGACTTGAATCATCTGGTGGATTCGTGTAGTACTTTAGTTAATGATCGTGAAGAAGGGGAATTTTGTGACAAAGAAGAAGCTAAGATCAACTCTATTGAGAAGGAGGCGGAAAATGTTTCTATGGTTACGAAATTTAAGCTCCAGAAAGAGTTGAAATCTCTTGGTAATAGCAATGTGATACATAAGAGCAGGAAAACTGATCTGTTGAAGAAGAGTGGTGGGACTTTTCTCACCTTCAATTCTAAATGATGTCTATCATATTTTGGAATTCTCGAGGGGCTAGGAAGATAGTTGCCTCTCGATATTTGAAGGAAATTGTGAATGAGCATGGCTCTTTCTTTGTTGGGCTAGTAGAGACTAAAATCTCATCTATGGATGTTATAGAATTCAATTATTTTATAGGGAATAAATGGGAGTTCTTTCTACTTCTGTCGGATGGGCTCTCTGGTGGTATGATGGTTTGTTGGAGGGCTGATGTTGCTTCTTTTTCGGTGTTGGTCTCTTCTTCTCAGGTGGTGATTGGTGAGTTAAATATTAAGGATAATGGATATTGGCTGGTTGCTACAGTGTATGGTAGCTGTGATGTGAACAACAGGAAGATGTTATTGAATAGTTTGTAGATTTTGTCAGGTTAACCGATCCCTTCTATTTTTGGGGGGGATTTCAACTGTATTCTCTCACAAGAAGATAAGAGGGGTGGTAAGAGGTTTTTATTCTCTCAAGGTGCTCAAGATATGCTTGAATTTATGAGAAATAGTGATTTCCATGAAGTTGACATAGTGGGGCCTAGATTTACTTGGTGTAACAATAAGACTGGTTCAGCTAGAATCTTAGAAAGATTGGACCGATGTCTTATTAATTCTGCTACGTTAAAAATTCTGAATTTACCTATGGTTAGACATTTGGCGAGAGTAGCTTCGGACCACTGTCCTATCTTGTTGAAGATCTCTTCGGTTGGTGTTCGGAAATACAGAAACTTGAGATATGAAGACGTGTGGTCTTCTTACTCTGCTTCCTATGCGGTTGTGGCCCATTCATGGAATAAATCTGCTCAAGGAGATGAGGTGGATGTCTTGAATAAAAAACTTTTTAGAGCTCTGAAAGTGTTATTTTTCTGGAGTAAGGCAAAACATAAGAGCTTATATGAGTTGAAAAACAAACCTAAGGTGGAAATTCTTAAGTTGCAGGAGGAAGAGGCTAGTATTAATGGTATTTCAGATTCCAATTTGATTTTACTGAAATCCAAAGTAGGAGAACTTAATTTGACTATGGGTCGTTTATGTACATGGTGGAAACAGAGGTCGAAGGTGAATTGGATGGAGTCTGGAGATGCCAACTCAAATTTTTTTCATTCCTTTGCTACGTCGAGAAGGTGTAGTAACTGGATTAAGCAAGTTAGAGATTGTAATGATTTGCTAGTTGAAGATAAGGAATGGATAGAGCAAGTTTTCTTTCAGTTTTTGCAAAATAAGTGGAGGGAAAGGCATTGTAGTTTGACGGGTTGGCCTGATGCTTCTTTTCGGATTTCTGAATCAGACAGGAGTCTCCTTAGCAGGGAATTTACTAGAGAGGAGTTGGAACTAGTGGTAAAGCATTTGGAGGGCAATAAGTCTCTAGGTATCGATGGTATCATGTATTCTTTTGTTAAAAATTATTGGTAGGTTATTAGCAATGATGTTTGGAGTGCTAGTAAATCTTTTTTCTTCCATGGGAGGATGTGTCATGCTTGGAAAGAAACGAGTGTAGTCTTGATTCCCAAGACTAATAATCCTTGCTCACTGTCCAACTACCGGCCTATCGGCCTATGTAATTCAATTTATAAAATTGTGACGAAGATGTTACTGAATAGGATGAGTGGGTTACTTCCTAAAATTGTTTATGATGTTCAATATGCATTTATCAAAGGGAGAACTATGTCTGATCAGATTCTTCTTGCTCATGAAATTTTTCATAAGATGAGATTTTCTAGTGCCAAAAAGGGTTTTATGGCTTTGAAAATAGATATGGAGCAGGCATACGACAGTATGAGTTGGGATACCTTGAAGTTTGTGCTAGAGAGGATTGGTTTTCCTGATAATTTATCTAGCCTAATTATGGATTGTGTAGAGAAGCCTACGTTCTCTATTGTGGTTAATGGAGTTAATTCTGATTGGATTGGAGCTAAAAGTGGATTCAGGCAAGGGTGTCCACTCTCATCTTATCTTTTTATTTTATGCTCTCAGCTTTTGTCTGATTCCTTTGTTCAGATAGGTAAAGATGTGGGTATTAAAATGGCTCCGCCTTCTCCTTTGATCTCTCACTTGATATATGCAGTTGATGTGATGATTTTTTCTGATGCTAAATGGCAAAGTTTGAAGATTATCAAAGGGATTCTTAATGACTACTGCAATTGGACGGGACAGAAGATTAATTTGATGAAGTCTTCAATCCTGTTCGGCAACTCAGTAAAGAAGAGGTGCTGTAAGCTGGCTAAGAAACTGGGCATTAAAAAGGTTAATGAAATGGAATATCTAGGGGTGAAAATGGTGCTGAGGAGGAAGGTGTTTTCTGATTTTCGTTTTTTGCTTGAAAAAGCCGTTAAAAAGCTGAATATTTGGGGTAATAGACTTATTTCCCAAGCTGGGAAGCTAGCTTTACTCAAGTCTTCATTTCTTTCTCTATCTCTATTTATTTTAGCTCACTCTTTAATTCCTATGGGGATCTTAAAAGATTTTGACAAGATGTGCAGGAAGTACTTATGGCATGATAGTAATGGTAAAATGGGGCTACATTATGTTGCTTGGGAAGTTATGTGTATGCCTAAATTGAAAGGTAGCTGGGGGCTGCAGTCAGTTGTTGATAAGGTTGGGTTTTTGAGAGCTAAATTTGCTTGGAGCTTCATTTCCAATTCAAAGTCTCTCCTTAATAGATCTCTGATTGCTAAGTATGGGAAGAATCCTTGGAATGCAGATGTTTTAAAATGTCATTCGTCTACGTGGAAAATTATTGTACATGGTGCTGAGAAACTACAACCTTTGATTAAGTGGAATATTGGCTCTGGATCGAAGATCAGGACGCTGCAGGATGTGTGGATATTGGATAGGAGGATTGAGAGGTGGCCGACCTTTGTGGATAACACTCTGACAGATGATTCTTATCTTTTGGATTTCTTTTCTGATGGTATGTGGGATGTGGATAAATTGAAATTGAGATTTGGTATTCAGTTGGTTGACCTCATTCTCGATATTCCTGTTAATAGAAGTATTCGGGAAGATCAACTGGAAATGCTATGTAAGCATACGGGTAAGGCTATTTCTGCACTTGCTATAGAGAAAATGTTTGAGGGTGCTGTAGATGATGATTACTTGATTTGTCTTAAGAGGTTTAAGCTTAGACCCCAGGTTGAATTTTTTTGGTGGCGGCTGAAGAACAATGCTATTCCAACTAAGGTGTTCCTAAGTCACAAAAAACTAGCTAACTCTGAGGGGTGTCCGAGAGCGTGTTTGAATATAGAAGATATCCATCATGTGGTTGTTCGGTGTGGGCCCCTTCTCAAGGTTTTATTTACTCTTTCTAAATGGGGTTTACGTTTTCCTGATCTCAACTACTTTGAGGACTGTTTAAAGTTTCTTCAGCATTGTTCTGTCCATCATCCTTTTATGGGTAATTTTTACTATTATGCTGTTTTTTTGTGTTGGCAGAGTAGAAACAGGATTGTCCACGGTGGAGTGGAGGATTATGCTTCTCATTTGGCTGCTGATGCAGTCACTTTTGTTTCTGCTTCGTTTGATTTTGATCGTATTTGGGAGAGATGGGATGTCAATCATCTTGTAGGGCTGTCTCACAATTCTTGGCATCCCCCTCCTCCTGGATGGATCAAAGTTAACATAATAGATGCATCGTTAACTTTTTCCAACTTGGCTGCCTATGGAGGTGTGTTCAGAGATTGTAAAGGAAGATTTTTAAGTTCTTTCGGGATAAGCTTAAGGCATTGGGAATGTGCTCAAGTTGATGTACTTTCGATGTCCTCTCTTAGCAAGTTTATTTAAGAATGGATGTATGATTGTATTGGCATCATCATTGAGGGTGATAACTTGAATGTTATCAAATTCTTTCAGAAGTTTATGAATAAGGTGGGATTTTGATGCGACCAAAAAATACAGGGGACCCTATACTTCTCGACCGCAAAAGACACGACGGACTTCTACCGACGAAAAAGACTAAGGACGAGAAGAGGAAAGAACAAACTCTTACATTTCAATTTAAACTAAACAAAAGAAAACTTACACCAATACAAACGACTCTTGCAAACAAAATAACGACACCCTAAAGTTGCTGCACTTAGAGAAGAGGGATACAGGTGGAGTGGCACTTGCGGAGAGACGAAAGAGGTTAGAAGCCTGAGAAGAAAGGTTGGAAAGAGCCCGCAGGATTTTCGGAGGGGATGAGAAAGAAGGGTGGAAAGAGCCCGCAGGATTTCCAAAGCCTCTTGGAATTCCAAAGGCCGGTTTGGAATTCCAAGAGACAAACATAAATACTAACATAAAAAGCATAAAAACATTAATTAAAAGATAATAAATGAACTAAAATGTTAGCTCATAATGAGCTAACCCTTAGTTCAATAAATGAACTAAAGTCCAGCTCATAAATGAACTAAAAGTTTAGCTCAAATATGTTAAACTACTAGACTCAAGAGAAGCCAAAATTTGATTTATTTTAGACTAGTGTTGACCCCCCCCCCCCTTGTCTACATCAGATTTGAGGTGGAGGGATTTGATCCGAAGGACTTCCTCTTCCTTAGAGACTTCAACCAAGTGATTTTTCAGCATGTAAAGAGAGATTGTAATAAAGTAGCTCACATGTGTGCTAGACTGGCTCTTTTTAGTGAATTTTTTTGGGATGATCTCAGTTGTAATAAGATTCCTCCTTCCTTTTTTAGCTTTGGTGAAGGGGGAATTTAGTTGCTTGTAATTTTCTTTTAATAAATTTGCCTTGGCAGTTTCCTCAAAAAAAAAAAAAAATATACATAATATGATGCTTTTCTGTCTGTTCCTTTATTAATTTAGTTTCGGTGAATATGATGCAGGAAAAACTCTATAGCATGTTGAAAGATGTAACAAAGAACAAACCTAATATGGATGTTGTTAAACTTCACAAATCCGGCGGTGTTGTTTCAAGGAATCCGAAATTTCGCCAGAAATCTAGGGGCTTCAGGATTAGGGTATGTTACTTTCTTTGAGGTCGAATCTCTTTTAATAAAAGAGGATATTTGTCTTATGTATTTCATTGGTGCAAAACATGCTAAGAAGTTGTTTTTATTATATTAATAGTTTGTTTATTAGGAGTGTTTGAAGATTAACAGTAAACTACTCTTTTACAGTCATTTCATTTGATGCAGTCAGCATTCAGATAACCATCTAAATATGAAATTACTTTGGGTTGGCCAATCTACATCATTTACGTTTTGAGAAATTTTGAACCTAACCAACAAAACAAAAATGATTTCACCAGAAATATCTTGCTAAGATAATATCATATTTTTACCATTATCATGTTCATAATATCATATTTTAACGTTCTAATTCTAATTAGTTATATGAAATTTCAAACAATGTAAAAAGTTTGTAGTAGAACATTTAAATTTTATTTTTATAGATTAATGCAAAAAATTTAAATGAAGTTAGCTTTAATGAAGATGGATGAAGATAAAGCTTCACATTTAGATGAGAACCTATTGAAATTTATCGAGTTATCCGGCAATGATTTACTTCACAAATCTTCACAGTAGAATTTTGAAGACTAATATAATATCTTATGATTGGAGAAGAAATATTTTGATACTAATATTGTAAGAATAAATGAGATGTTTAAAATTGTTCTTAACTTATAAGACATAAATGAGATGTTTAAAGTTATGAAATAGAATAATGAACCAAATACCAACAAAGCACTTCTTCATTTAAATTAATATGTGATGCATGATACCTTGGGCCTTAGGGTATTATATTATAGATCATGATGTTGTTCAAAATCAATCTCACATTTTCAAGTTCATAGTTCGCAAATATTTAATGGGAGATTTACATACATACCACTTAATACTATGCTATTTACATATTTAACACCTAAAACTTTAATATTACATACATACCACCCATAGTTCATTTTCATACCAAATATGAGTGGTAGAAATGAAATATATGAGTGGTAGGAAAAAAAATGTAAGTGGTATATTTGATATTAAAATAATATAGGGTGGTATTCATGTAATATTAAAGTTTTAGGTGTTAGATATATAAATAGGATGTTATAAAGTGGTATGTATGTAAATTTCCCATATTTAATTTTGATAGCTACTTGTTCCTTTTGAAAATTGAAAATATCAAGAATTGAAACAAACGAGGGTTCAATTGTTGTGTAATAGAATTACCACTTTGAAATTTAGAAGAATGCAACCATATTGACATATTGTTGACCTCCATCTGTTTCCCACAATTAATTTGAGCAGGTGAGATGAAAAGATGATCGATCTATGCAATGTCACACAAGTTTTGAAGTGCTTCGATCATGGTTAAAATCACTCAAATGCTGCTCGTTAATGAAACAGATTGGGCTGTTGTGTTCAGAATGCCAAAAATACTTAAGAGGGACCTTCCACAATCAATTCAAGAGAATGCCATCGAAAATGAAGAACTACAATCGTGATATTACATGAGATTGTCTAAATGTCCTTCATTCACAAAAGGAACTGTGCTGACGTATCTGTAATGTTCAAATTACCTAGAAAATAGACCACAATGCAAGTTGAAATGAACAAAATGTGAATCGACTCCTAAAATTTTCATTATTCACACGTCTCAATTTTTATGTCGTCGCATGGCACAAGGCCAAATTAAATAAAACAAAATGTGAATCGGCTCCTAAAATTTGAAATAATCTAAAGTGTTTGTATACTCTTTTGGCAAGTTGCATTTTCTTTGCTTTATTTTCATATTTGCCTTTAGAGGTGGCTATTTGATTTTCTTTGTATAGTGAATGCATTATTCATTGATTCTGCTATTTTTATTGAGGACGAGTTTGTGTTTTAGTTCAGGAGTGTGTCTTTCATAATTGGCCATGCATAAAAGCTGTGCAATGGATATAACAATATTTACTTTAAGAATACTTGCTAACATTCCATCAAAATGGTTGGTTTAAAGGGATGCATGAAGGTCAACCTTAGAGTCTAAAGAATTTCATTTGAGTAGAACTAAAATTAGATGCATGGAGTGTAATTTTAATAGCAATAGAACTAGTGGGGGAATTTTGACTCTGGGCGATAAAGTCATTAATAAAAGTATATGTTTTAGATATCTCGAGTCTATTGTTCATAGTGATAGTGAAATAGATGGGGATATTATTAGTATAATTCAAGTTAGATAGTTGAAATGGAATGTATCAGGCCTGTTGTTTGATAGAAAAGTACCCCTCAAACTTAAGGGAAAATTCTATAACATGGTGGTGAGAACTGCAATGCTTTAATAGAATGTTGGACATTAAAATAGAAGTATAGAATTAAGTTAAGTGTTGCAAGATGAGGATGCTTAGGTGGATGAGTGGCTTCACTTTTAGAAATATAATGTGAAACGAGTATATACATGAAAAGTTGGAGTAGCTCCAGTGGCAAATAAGATTAGAGAGAGTCATTTTAGATGGTTTGGTCACATAAAACGCCGGCCTCTGATGACTCAGTTAGGAGTGTAGATGTATTAGATTTGATCTATGTTAAGAAATATAGAGGTAGCCCTAAAAGACTTGGTTAGAGAATATTAGAAATGACCTTTATTATTGGATTTAAATGTGAATTTGACTCTTAGCACGACCATGGAGAAAAATTATTCAAGTAGTCGACCCCACGTAGTGGGATAAAGGCTTGATAGTGTTGTTGTTGTCTAATGGTTGACGCATTGTAAGGAAAGTTAAGGAAACTAGACCTATTAAAGTAGAATCCCAGCACAGAAGAAGAAAAAAAGAGGAAAATGTTTGGAATAACAACACCCTAACCTATCTTTGATACCATGTTGAAAAGTAGAAAAAAAAATATTTTGAATTTTATTATTTGATTATGTATAAAGTGTGAAAGTATATATATATACTTATCTTAAAGTCTTTCAATTAAAATAAATCAAAGTTATTCACAAAAAAAAAGGCGGCTAGAAGAGAAAGAATAGGCACACAGATTATAACTAAAGGGCCATAAGAGGATTGATCCAATGGCTATACCCCTTAATCTATGTAATGGAAGGATTTTTTTTAATGCAAATCATATTATGATTGGGGATGGGGTTGGGAATTTCTTATGATGTAACTCATGCAATGGAAAGATTTTCTTAAAGATGTAAATCATATTATTTATAGTCTCTTCCCTACCCATAATCAAGTAAGGGGGGTATCAAAGGACTGAGAAGATAGTACCTGATGAGTTGGCTTGGTTGATGAGGTGGTAACTATTTGGTTGTCATACAATAGTGGTATCTTTTATACATGATCTATTAGGTTTAACCCTTTTAAGCTCATATTCAATAGGCTCATTAGGGCCTTTAAAGATTATGGGCTTTTAAGTTTATATTCAAAAGAACTAGCTCAGTAGGGCCTTTAAAGATTATGGGCTTATGGAATGACCCACTCACTTGAGAATCCTAGCCGATGGTAATTTAGGTGAAATTAATTCAACATATTCTCACATAGAAATGCAATTACTCATTAATTTGTAGCGAAGGTACATTAATAAAACATTATTCTTTTTGAGTATATTTCCTTTATAATCATACATGTCAATGGTGCAAAATGGAGTACGACACGGCGTGGTGCATGTATGATACCAGTTGCTTGGTGCGGCACATCAAAATAGATTGTGCTATTTGCGTCATGCATGAGCAATAGTGTATGGCGCTAATAACGTGCTCTATTTTGTTAACATATTATAATTTTCAAATTATAAAATATAATTAAAAATTTTCATAATTAATTATTAATTAATTAAACATCAAATTAATTAAATATAAAAAAAATATTTATTTTTATAGGGCTGAGGGTTTACTTTTTTTGTCGTTGTTTCTTAGGTGCTGGTTTGACTTTGTGTATATCGTGTGATGCCTCCTTCGATGATGACATTTATATCAAATCAAAAGTTGGGGGGGGGGGCGCTTGCAATGATGATAACAATCATTCTTCCCTTTCACCCAGTTCTTCGACAAAATTGCGAAAACATTAAACCTTTATTTCACTATGCGGGGTCGGCTACATGATTCCCTTTTCTCCATTGTATCCTATTAAGAGTTAAATTTGCATTTAAATCTAATAAAAAAAAGGTTATTTCTAACATTTTTAACCAAGTCTTTTAGGTCTACCTCAACATTTCTTAACATAGGCTAAAGCTAAAACATGTACTCTCTTAATTGGTCATCATAAGGTTGACGTTTTATATTACCAAACCATGTAAGTCGACTCTCTTTAATCTTATATGCCACTGTAGCTACTCCAAGCTTTTCATGTAGATACTTGTTTCTTATTCTATCTAAAAGTTTGAAGCCACTCGTCCATCTGAGAATCAGCATCTCTTTAACGCTCAACTTAATTTTATGCTTCTCTTTTAATGGCCAACATTCTACACCATAAACATTGCAGGTCTCAGCACCATCTTATTGAAATTTTCCTTAAATTTGAGGGGTATTTTTCTATCACATAATAAGCCCGATGCATTCCTCCACTTCAACCACCCAACTTTAATTCTACTAACAATATCCCCATCTATTATGAATAATTTTATGCTTCTTCGGCTAAATTGCATTGAAAGTAAAATGGAGAAGGAATGTGATTTAACTTTTCGTAGGATTTAAATTTGTTATTTTTGCTATTTTGATAGAATTTTGGCTAAATTCTGCTTAAATCTATCGATATAAGTTTTTGTAGGATTTAAAGACATCATTTTTTGTTATTTGACAAGATGATTATGCTTAAATCTTACTCAAATCAACATATTATTTGCTATTTAATGATATTTTATATTAATAGATGTTTGTTTAAAATTATTTTATATTATATGCCATGTTTAAAATGGCGCGCGCCGCTCCGTGCATTATGCGTCATGTCTCCACAGAGAGCTTTGCGCCGTGGTTCGTCATTCGCTACTGACAAGCACCGTGGTGCATCATCTACTACTGACAAGCATGTTTATAATTT